TACTGCATAAAGACTGCTTGAATGTAGTCAGACAATGAGAAAAAGGGAAAACGTCTCCCTATTGAGCAGTGTTTCCCCGACCATTATATTGGGGGGTAAGTTAGTCCCAAGAGGTTTGGTCAGTGAAGTTTGGCTGAAGTTTACCATTACCCCAGATGGCGAGTTATCTGGACCACCTGCCGCTTTGAAGCTCACAGTGAAATTACTTCAATTTTATAAATTATCATGTCTTCCACAAAGTATTATTAAAATAAAAACTATTTCACATCATGTCACATTTTGCTCCGTTTGTCTTCTCGTGTGAGGAGGACAAGTTTTCCTACATTTTTAGGTCATTTTATATGTGTGGGGTGAACATTTGGTCAGTAGAGCAATTTGTTCGGGAGATTTTGAAACTATCTCAGAACTCTGTCCCACTCTAGTGATGATGTCACTCACTCTAGCCCCGAACATTCCACCACACACACACCCATTCAAAACATGTAAAGTAGTTAAAAACATCACAAAACAGTTGAAGGTACAGTTTGAAAAGTATAAAATATAGCAAGATGAGTGTGTGAAAGTAGTTTAAATAGTGGAAAAGTATGTAAACGTTTTTAAAGCAAAAATGAAGTCTCTAGGCGGAACGGAGCCAAAGTTATAAGGCTGAGAATAAAGTGGAAAAGTGAAACATTTTCTCATTCATTTGAAAGGGAATTTTTTTTTTTTTTAATTTTGTGGAAAAAGTGAAATAACTTAAAAAGTAAAAGTAGTTGAAAAGTGAAGTCATAGCCATCATGTCATGAAGAAGCTGAATAGTATGATAGTTGAATGGTGAAAGTAGCACAAACGGTTGAAGTAGAAGCACAGCGAAAAAAAACAAGGAAGTATAATAATAATAATAAAGATTTGAATAACAATAGTGTGAAGGTTGTATTACAGCATTCCCACTAATAAGTCAACAAATACATGGTGAGTCATGAATAATTGCTGCTTCTACTTATTAAAAACATCTGAGTAGTTTAAAAAAAGGAAATAATGGAGAATTTGAAAACATCTTCATGGACTTTAAGGATCCAAAATATAAATTTTTGTGGCTTTGTGACACAAAAAAAACATCAATGATGCATGACTTCCTAAAACCCAAAACCATCATAATGATCTCCTACCATGGTAAACAATGCAGAATCAAAACCTCACCTCATTTTTCAGCTGTAGTTCTCTCCGTAGTCTTTATGAGTTTGGTCAGTTTGGCAGATTCCTGCTGATGCTGCAGCTTTGAGTTTGCAGAAACAAAATAACAGGACATTCACGAGCACGCATATATAGTCTACGCAGATGTTAGGAGGCGGGGCGTTCTCGTGGTCGCGCAGTGTGCAGAGGAGCGAACAGACGCGACTTCGCTGAAGCACTTCGCCCTTCAGCAGAATGGAAGCGAAGTCAAACAGCTGTAGAAGAACCTCAGTGTCATGAACCTTCAAAGGAAATGGGTGAAGCATGACGGATATTTAGAGAAAAATGTGACTCTGACGTGTGTGAGGAAGAGCGAACGCGGACACGCGCCTTTCCCTCCTCGTTCCCGCGCCATGAGTTTCGTTTTCAAGGAATGGAAACCTGAAGCCTCATATCTGTCTGAAACGAAAAAACAAATGTATGACCTCATATAAATTGGTGGTTAAATTTGTTTCCTCTTTTTGGAGCTTTAATCTACATAGACTTTAATCTTCAAACATGAGGTATCAGGAGCAGTGGAAAAGCCATAAAAAACAATTAAACTATAATAAATAAATAAAAACAGATATGACAGCATGATGAATAATTAATGAAGAGAAACACAACAACGTATACCAAATATGTTTTTTAATAGTTATAAATATGAATGTTTGTTTTTGAGACAAAAAATAAAGAAAAGTAAAATTATTTCTAGATGGATTATTAAATAGCATTTAATACATCAATGGACTGCTGCTGATCTATGTATAGAACATGAATGAATTAATACATTTTATTCTCTCTCTCTCTCTCTCTCTATATATATATATATACATTTATATTTATATATACAAAAGGAACCTACAAGACGTGAGAGCTCAGGAGCTCCAAGGTTTATATGTGGTTAGTAACTAAGATTTACACATATTGATATGCACAGAGAGAGAGAGAGAGAGAGAGAGAGGAGCTCAAGGTGCCAGTTCCCCTGGTAGTCTAAGCCAGGGGTTCTCAAACTTTTTGGCTTGTGTACCCCCTTTCAGATTTGTTTTCAGCCAAGTACCCCCTTATCCAGTCAAAGACATTTTTCAGGAAATAATTTGGGTAAAGAACATTACTAAACAAATGTATGTGGTCTTCATAAAGCTGTTGGCTTATGTCACCCCGCAAAAGAAAAAACAGTGCTTCGTGAGGAACAGAATACGTGGAGGTAAATCCCATAAAAATGTATTAGTGGTGGGCGATATGGAAAAAATATCATATCACGATCACAATTTTATCACAATTTTTTTCCCATACTGATCTTAAAGAAGGATTTTGCAAGTTACCAACCAGTTTAACCGAACGTATTTCCCTGTATAATGTTTTTAATTGCACAAATACTGTGCTTATAAGTTTAGTCTATTTAAAATTGTCATTGTTGCTGGACATCTCCCCAGAACATTTTTAACACCAGAAATGCATTCTGATAAATTTGTATGTACAATTGTAGGCTTTTATGCACCACTTTAAATTAATGATTTATTATTGTGTGCTCTTTTGTGTCTTTAAATCTATTTTAGGGTTCATCAGGTACTTTTTTTATACAGCGATGCATTCATTTAAAAACATGTAGACTTCTAAAATAATCCAAAATGTGATTATTCTGTGACACATGGTCAAAGTCATGTGATGGAGGCGCTGAATGAGATGTTTTCCTCCGCCTACATCAATGCCATCAAGTGAGCCTTCATCCTGGGCATGTTGAAGACGCAGGATTGATTTGTGGAGGTGTGACGCAGCAGGTGAAGTGACCGATTCTTTCTGTTTGCAGGTGTGCGTCCGTGCAGGAGCAGCTCCTCCTCAGAGCGATCATCGCCGGGTTTCAGCGGCTGGGATTGGAGGAGGCCACCTTCCAGCAGGTAAAAAAAACAAACGCACACAAGTGTAGAAAAATACCTAGAAAAAGCAGATTATCACCCTTCACTTCCTGAAACAGGCCGTGCAGCTCTCACAGCTGCTGGCTGAAGAAATCTGCAAATACGGAGATATTATAACAGAATCTCAATGTGAACTAAAGAGTGGAGAAGAACATACTGGAGAACAGGAAACATGCAGCAGCAGGTTCATTGGAGCACGGAGATGGTAGAGGTGGCGTGCAGACAGTCTATGGTCGTGCAGCGATCACAGGGAATAAAGGTCACCACCCCCTCCCACTGGCTCCAGGTGAATTCTCCTGATTATATCCTGCTGAGTTCTCCCTGTGTTTCGTCTGTCAGGTGTTTGTGCAGCACCAGGCTCTGTGTCGGGTGGAGGGTCTCCAGCCTATCAGTGTGTCGGAGGGCCTGGCGGTGTGTCAGCGTCTGGGAGCCTGGGATTTGAGGCGGACCCGCTGCAGGACTCCGAGGCGGCTCGGCTCCAACAGGAGGGTCCTGCAGCAGGTCCGCCTCAAATCCAGCGAGGACGACGTGGTGTTTGCCCTGAAGGCCGACTGAAGGATGTCGAGAATGATTTTGTATTTTCATGTTTACTTCAATGTGTTTTTATGGTTTTAATGTTTTATCTCTGATTGATATTTAATTCCAGCCTCTTAATTTGGGAGAATATTTCCTGTAAGAATAAAAACCTCGTTGGCATTCTTTTATCTCTTTTGGCCCCGTGTGGTGTTTGCACAAGGTGCGCTGCAAGCGTCCGCCTGTGTGGGTGTCGTTATTCACTAATCATGACTTTATCTTTCCAAGGAACAGAAACAGAAACCTACAGCCAAATACTTCTGTTAAACAAAACACAGACTCATCAAAGGTTATCCTCGATGTTGTTTGGCTGCGATGATTAAACTGAAAAAAACGCTCAGGTTTCACGGACAGAAATCTTGTTACATTAAGTTTAATATTTTAAAGGTCACACGTTCTGGAAAATCCACTTCACCATGTTCCTCTAACTCTAACATGTGTCTCTAGTCTGTCTACAAAACCCCCAATGATGAGAAAAGTCCATCCTCTCCGTCCTCTGCCTGCTCCACTTTTCAGAAAATGTGTGCTCAAACAAGCTGTTTGGAGATTTTCCCTTCATGACATCACAAAGGGCAGTAGCCCCTCCCCCAAGTGGGTGACACTCCCACGGCTAGGTGTTTATTCTGCCCTCTGAGTCTGCCTTCTCACCGTAAACAATAGGACATGGAGCGAGAAAGCACCGAGTACACCCCAAGCCCTTCCAGAGAGGGGGCGTGGTCAGACACAGCTCATTTACATATTTAAAGGTACAGACACAGAAACAGTCTGTTCTGAGCAAGGCTGAAACAGAGATTATCACTCCCATAATTCCCCCCCAGTCTTAACGTCATCTTTTGTTATTGTTTTGCTGGAGAGCCCCCTGGTGGTGGAACTTACACACTGCACCTTTAATGTAACATCAACACTCTAGTAAGAACTGTAACATCCAAAGACAAACATTCAAAGTTTTAGTAGTGAACATGTTTATTTGATCACAGCATGAACACAATCACCTTCATCCAAAAATAATATTCATCAAATTCACTTCTTTTTGCAAAACCAAGCAACGCAGGGTTATCTATAAAGCAAATGTTCATCACTTCAGAGGAAATTCAGAGAGCTTTTTTTATCAGCAAAGTCAAGAATTAGACGACGTAAAAACAATCAGGAACACAAACCACATGAAATCCATTTGGGTCAAAACTCTATCAACTCATGGAAATGCATAAAACAAACTCACAGTGCAGATTTACGTGGATATGTTTAAAATTTAACATGAATTTGTTTAAAGTTTAACCAAATCAAAGTTGCTTATTCTTGAATATTTAAAAATACATAAACACAGGTTTTAAGCAAACATCATGTTAATAATTTATTTACATGTTTCGCTGTACCCTTTCACTTTCACATCCGGGAATCGTCTTTTGTGAAACATTCAGACGGAGGAGGTCAGAAAAAGTGTCCCAATGGAGCGATACAAAACCTGATGAGCGCCTGCAGATCGCACTGTAATTAAACACCATTAAGCATAAGCGGCAGACAAAACTGTCCTTTACTCAAACTGCAATCACCTGTCCTTCATCGTTGTGTTAGCATGCTAATGTTAGCGCTCTTTAGTTAGTTCGTACCTTCACACTGCATGTTAATTGACACGGAATGACCGTAATCTAAAAACTCTTGCATGACATTCAAGGCTGTCCCGTCCATGTTTACACGGCGCCGACAAAAACACAGCCAGCAGGGACTCCTGTTACATGTCGGTATGAATTTGTCAAACATTGATCGATTTGTAAACTTAAAAAAAATATATCTTATTTTAGCGTTCCCTGCAAAGAAATCTTAATTACACTGAAACTAATCGAGGCTGCTGTAAAACTTCACCGTTTGAAATCATTGTATGATTTTCATAAACCACCTCAGCTTCATTTTTGCGAGTGCTCCTGATCTTTTTTTAGGTGATACACTACCTCCATTTTTCTGGAGGACACTACAGTTTCAGCTTAGCTAGAAACTCTTCTATTTCTTTACTCTTTCGGTTCCACTTTGTTGTGTCTTTTGTTCTCCTCAGAGCTTTGATGCTGTCGTCACGGAAGAAGGACTCGACTGTTATCGAAGCAGCCCTCATGTGGAACTGCATTGCCCCTTGGTGATCCTGTTTATCACAGTATAAGTGCTTTGCAAATCGGTTGTAAAGCACCTGTTTGTCTGCAGGCTCCAAATCCCTTCGGAGCAGTTTCTGGAATATCTCCTCGGCTTTAGTCTTGTCTGACTTTGCGTACACACTTGCAAGATCAATTTTCTTGATGAATGAAGAGTTAGGGTAAAGAGAAATAACCTCTCTATGGAGACTGATTGCCCTCTCTGTCATGCCTGGCCTTGGGCGACTCTTTCTGAAAAAAAACAAGATCTTCCACTTGTAGCAGAGCGCAACACACCTCGTAAGATAACGCTCATCTGGATGTTTTTTCAGAGCATCCTCTGCCAAATCAATGGCCTCATCTACAGATATGTAGTATGTGTAAAGTCTCAGTAATGGCTTTATACCGCTGTAGCTGCTGACGGGATTTCTCAAGATCTGACTTGCCAACTTCTGTGCTTCATCCTCAACTTTTTGTCCTTTCTTGGCAAGTTGTGTAAGGTAGACAGCAGCGAGGTACAAGTTATTTGGATTCTGATTCTTTGCGCGTTCCATTTTCTTCAGGGAGCTAGCGTCTACCCCGCTTTCGCTGTACTTACTGGCACGCGCTAAACCTAAGACATAGCTGGCGTTCCACTCCACCCTGTCCGGCTGCATCCTGATGGCTTTCTCGAAGAGATCTGCAGCTTGCGGCTGTACCTTTTTACCGAATTTGATCAGCGTCCAGGCCCTTTCAGCGCAGATCTCTGGATGGAGCTCGCCCTGGGATGGAGATGGGTATTTTTCCATCAGGGCATCAACCTTTGACAGGTAAGCCTGACTCTCCGCTTGATCTCCCAGGTGGTGGTGCAGCCAGGCCAGGTTCCCGTAGTTCACCACTAACCAAGGACCCTCATCTGCCTTTCTCAGCTCATTGAGTGCCTCCGTAGCCTTCTGAAACAAACTCTTAGCCTCTTCATTTAACCCCAGCTTATGCTCAATAAACCCCCGCAGGTTGTAAATGTGGCCCAGCCATCGATTTCCCTTCTCGGTGCCGATGTCCTCAAGCTTGTCCTTTAAATGTAAAAGTTGGGACTTCTCGAGGTCGAGAGCCCAGGTGAAGTGGCACTGCAGATCCTTCAGCTTGGACTCAAAATTGCTTTGACTTTTAGAGGCACTAGAGAATAAAAAAACATCAAAACATATCGTCATTAAGTTAATACAACGGACCCTGAAGTATGATAGGCTTAGATCAGATCACCAATGTTCATTTGATATTTCTGTAGAATAGGAAAATAAGATAACATCATCAGCTTCTTCTTCATGAAACACAGATGACTCAGATCCTTCAGGGTCGGACTTACGGATTTATACAAAGGATTTACAAAAGGTATAACGCAGTGATGGGGGGGCTCTGTTGACACGTATGACTCCTGCAGTAATGTGTGCATCACATATTATCAGAGGAAACATAACAAACGCCAACAAAAGAGTCACTGCAAGAGTCTGCTTCAAACCAACACATGAATCTGTTCTGCTGTGGGCCGGACCCACCTAAGAGGACCTTTGACCTTTTATCGGTTTGTGAAAAATACACTTCTTGGTCAGCATGATGGATGGGGTGTAAAACTGCGGTAGAGTCTGCTGGACAACTCGGGCACTAAGTGGTGGCACAAGCTCAAAATGTCAGTGTCCTTCACAGGGACAAATAGAATTTAAAAATGTTAAAAATGTTAAAAAAAACAACAAAATGTACAAAAGGTGCAATGTAGGAGCTGTGCAGTTGACAATGAGAAAAAAATCTTAGTGTATATTAATCTAATCTCAGAGTGCATGTAAATAAAATAAATTTAAACACACAAGTCCTGGCAGAAGCCAATGTATGATGTCACAGCCTCTGTGTACTCATCCAGACTGTTTGCAGCACGACTGCATCATACTTGATGCAATGCCAGAATGACTGGACTAATGTTGGCTGATGTTTAATCAGGTGTTCGTGGCCTGTAGCTGTTTTGTGCCTCTCGTAGTGATGAGACAAGTTTGTCCCACTTGGCTGCACGCCTCTGTTTGATATGTTGATATAAATTTAGACAGTCACACTGACGCCCTCGTGTGGTCTCTTTGAGCAATGACACTCACAAGGGCCAGGCAATATGAAAAGCACAGACAACAGTAATAAACTAGACAATTTGCATTTACCTGCAGAAAATGCATGGGAATGCTGACCGCTGAAATGTTTTGCAAAACACTGCTGAATGAAGAAGAATCAGCAGAAACAGCTGAAGGATTAGAAGATGAAGAAAAAGTAGAAGATGTAGAAGAAGAGGAAATGGTAAAAGTAGAGTAGTAGAAGAAAAAGTAGTAAAATCAGAAGAACAAGAAGTAAAAGGAGTAAAAGGAGTAGTAGAAGGAGAAGTATTAGTAGAAGATGAAGAAACAGTAGTAGTGGTAGAACAAGTAGAAGATACTGCATAAAGACTGCTTGAATGTAGTCAGACAATGAGAAAAAGGGGAAAACGTCTCCCTATTGAGCAGTGTTTCCCCGACCATTATATTGGGGGGGGCGGATTGTTTTGGGGCTTTTTGTGCCTTTTTGTGCCTTTTATTGTAGGTATAGGATAATGGTTAGAGTCAGAAATCAGGGAATGAAGTCCTTTAAGGATACCTTTCCGATAGAAAAGGAAAGCTATCATTAAAAGTAACACATGAACACCAAGATTCCTTCAAGTCGTCGTGTCGTTGTGTCGTCGTATCGGCTTGTCCCCACCCCCCCAACGCTGTAAACCTAGGGAAAACACTGTTATGTGCTCATTTCAAGGGCTTAAATTGAGTTGGTGGCTAAATAATGATTTTGTGAGCAAGGGACAAATGGCCGAACGCGTTGATGTGATTTTGATGTCTGGGATCCAAGAAATGTGGAAACCACAGTGATCTAAAAAGTTAGTCCTAGTTAAAAACATCATAAAACAGTTGGAGGTACAGTTTGAAAAGTATAAAAGATAGCAAGACGAGTGTGAAAATAGTGGAAAAGTAGGTGAACGTTTTAAAGCAAAAATGAAGTCTCTAGGCGGAACGGAGCCAAAGTTATAAGGCTGAGAATAAAGTGGAAAAGTGAAACATTTTCTCATTCATTTGAATGGGAATTTTTATTTTTTTAATTTTGTGGAAAAAGTGAAATAACTTAAAAAGTAAAAGTAGTTGAAAAGTGAAGTCATAGCCATCGTGTCATGAAGAAGCTGAATAGTATGATAGTTGAATGGTGAAAGTAGCACAAACGGTTGAAGTAGAAGCACGGTGAAAAAAACAAGGAAGTATAATAATAATAATAAAGATTTGAATAACAATAGTGGGAATGCTGTAATACAGCAATAAGTCAACAAATACATGGTGAGTCATGAATAATTGCTGCTTCTACTTATTAAAAAGATCTGAGTAGTTTAAAAAAAATGAAATAATGGAGAATTTGAAAACATCTTCATGGACTTTAAGGATCCAAAATATAAATTTTTGTGGCTTTGTGACACAAAAAAAACATCAATGATGCATGAATTCCTAAAACCCAAAACCATCATAATGATCTCCTACCATGGTAAACAATGCAGAATCAAAACCTCACCTCATTTTTCAGCTGTAGTTCTCTCCGTAGTCTTTATGAGTTTTTTCAGTTTGGCGGATTCCTGCTGATGCTGCAGCTTTGAGTTTGCAGAAACAAAATAACAGGACATTCACGAGCACGCATATATAGTCTACGCAGATGTTAGGAGGCGGGGCGTTCTCGTGGTCGCGCAGTGTGCAGAGGAGCGAACAGACGCGACTTCGCTGAAGCACTTCGCCCTTCAGCAGAATGGAAGCGAAGTCAAACAGCTGTAGAAGAACCTCAGTGTCATGAACCTTCAAAGGAAATGGGTGAAGCATGACGGATATTTGGGGAAAAATGTGACTCTGACGTGTGTGAGGAAGAGCGAACGAGTTCGCGCGAATACAGCGACGCGGACACGCGCCTTTCCCTCCTCGTTCCCGCGCCATGAGTTTCGTTTTCAAGGAATGGAAACCTGAAGCCTCATATCTGTCTGAAACGAAAAAACAAATGTATGACCTCATATAAATTGGTGGTTAAGTTTGTTTCCTCTTTTTGGAGCTTTAATCTACATAGACTTTAATCTTCAAACATGAGGTATCAGGAGCAGTGGAAAAGCCATAAAAAACAATTAAACTATAATAAATAAATAAAAACAGATATGACAGCATGATGAAGAATTAATGAAGAGAAACACAACAACGTATACCAAATATGTTTTTTAATAGTTATAAATATGAATGTTTGTTTTTGAGACAAAAAATAAAGAAAAGTAAAATTATTTCTAGATGGATTATTAAATAGCATTTAATACATCAATGGACTGCTGCTGATCTATGTATAGAACATGAATGAACAAATACATTTTATTCTCTCTCTCTCTCTCTCTCTCTATATATATATATATATATACATTTATATTTATATATACAAGAGGAACCTACAAGACGTGAGGTTAATATGTGGTTAGTAACTAAGATTTACAGATAGTGATATGATGTGAATGTACAGAGAGAGAGAGAGAGGAGCTCAAGGTGCCAGTTCCCCTGGTAGTCTAGGTAGATGATTACAAAGGAGAGGAGCCTGATAACTGAAGGCTCTACCTCCCGTAGTACATTTAGAGTCTGTAGGTACCACGAGCAGGCCTGATAACTGAAGGCTCTACCTCCCGTAGTACATTTAGAGACTGTAGGTACCACGAGCAGGTCTGATAACTGAAGGCTCTACCTCCCGTAGTACATTTAGAGACTGTAGGTACCACGAGCAGGCCTGATAACTGAAGGCTCTACCTCCCGTAGTACATTTAGAGACTGTAGGTACCACCAGCAGGTCTGATAACTGAAGGCTCTACCTCCCGTAGTACATTTAGAGACTGTAGGTACCACGAGCAGGTCTGATAACTGAAGGCTCTACCTCCCGTAGTACATTTAGAGACTGTAGGTACCACGAGCAGGTCTGATAACTGAAGGCTCTACCTCCCGTAGTACATTTAGAGACCGTAGGTACCACGAGCAGGCCTGATAAGAGATTTTGGCTCGGCCTATAGTGCACAACATATACTTAGTTTCTGTTACTTTTTTTTTCTGCTTTGTATACATTTAAAGGGAGCTGACAAAAAAAGTAAAGGGCTTGATGTAATAAGCTAATAAGGCTTCAGCCTAAATGGTCCGGTTGAAAATGGTTGAAAAATGACTTCTCACAACTATTGTTTCTAATTGACAGATTAGTTTATAGGCTCTCCTGTGACTTTATATATTTAGTGTCTGAAAATAGTCAAGGTGTCGTGTGTCATAGTATGTAATAGATATTAAAACTATGCAGTGTGTTTGGCTTTGTTGATACTATTGCAGCTGTTACCTGCATTATGACGCTTTGCTTCCACCTACCGGTAGAACAAGAGAACTTCACCGCTTCAAAATAAAAGGTTTCTTTTCAATTCATAAACAATTAATCTGACATCTTATATCTTATAATTTCCCATGTTGTCCTGTAGAAACTGCCACTTACTCACTTTTCATGTGCTTGCTGCTTCATTCAGGAGCCACTTACGTCTCAGCACTACGCATTTTACGTACACTACGCATTTTACGTAAACTACGCACGGCAGAACTCTTCCTGCGTATGTTGTTGTAGAGACAGTATGGCGGAGCTGAAAGAGGCAGACGCTGCTCAGCTACACCAGGAGGACGTCGATATTAAACGTGAGTTAACTCCAGCACGTAGCCGATGAAACACCACATTTGAGGTCTTTAAAAGGGGGGTTAATCGTAGTTTTTATCATTTTCACTGGTGTCTAGTGAATTCACTCAGAATTTAAGTTGGTAAGTGCTGAACTAAACGAGGGCCTCACCACGGAGCTCCGCCATAGGGCCTAAATAGTCAACAATAACAGCTACCTAATGGCTGCAGCGGGCTAACAGGAAAGCTAAAGTGCTGTCGTCAGCTGTTACATTCAACAGTACAGCTTTAGACTGGTTATATTATCACACCGTTAGATTTGAGTTGTACTTGTAGTTTCGGTTTGCACGGTCTCATCGCGGAGCTGCACTACAGGACCGCAGCAGAGCCCAACTGCATGTTTATTTATTTTATTCACAAAGAGAAGGTTGTTTTAGTTTCAGACCTGAAGAAAACAACCACTGTCTAAATGTGGCTTACACTCAAAACATGTATTTACTATTTCTTTATTTAAAGAAGGAAAGTCTCATTGAGATAAGAATCACTTTTAGAGCGTCCTGGCCCAGACAGACACTGTCTGACATTAGAGAGCTGTCTCCCCCCCCCCCTCTCTAGAGTGGATGCTCACTCAGGTCACCATGTGGTGGACTCTGAAGCTTCAGTGTTTATCCAGTTTAGGTGGAGGCAGATGCCCCATGTCACATTTTTCTTTTATATTTCTGACTCATTATCATCATCAACCCTCCAGGAAACTGTTCAGCTGGTGCCTACACATCTCTTCCCGATATCAGTGTACAAAAATTCAAAAATATTGTGTGAATCAGGGCTTTTATGTTTTTCCTAAAAATGAAGAAAACTCTTACAATGTTTGTCAGACTTAAAGGAGCAGTATGTAACTCTGACACCTAGTGTTTAAAATGGGTACTGCAGTCTAAATTATAAACATTGTAGAGAGCTGTCTCCCCCCCCCCCCCCTCCTCTCTAGAGTGGATGCTCACTCAGGTCACCATGTGGTGGACTCTGAAGCTTCAGTGTTTATCCAGCTCTGCATGGGTCTGTAAACCTTTCTGTGTTCTAACCTCTCTCCATTTTTCAAAAGCATCTCCAATATTGATCCTAGTTTGAGCACGTTTCTGCTCGTGGAGCTTATTAGAAACATGCAGAGGCTTTTTAGGTCGGGTACAATCACTTCTATCTGAACCACTTCTCTTGCCCGCTTCCATCACTGCAACACCTGTTGACCTGATAACTGCTCTCATATCTGGCAAACTGAGGGGCGTCCAAAACGGCTGTGTGGGGGGTCTTAAAACCGCCGCCTACCTTCTCTGGTCCAAACAAATCCAGAGCATTCAGGAGCAGAATGTAAAGTTAGAAGGAGGACATACTGGCTGCTGCATTGTTGTCAGAGAAGCCAGCACTTCAACATAGCATGTTTCCTTAATGTCTGATGATGTAGTAAGATACCTTTATCGTGTCCTTCTCTCTCTCTCTCTCTCTCTCTCTCTCTCTCTCTCTCTCTCTGTGAAGGTGGAGCTGCTGGAGATGCTCCCTCAGTCGATGATCAAACTGCAGATCAGACGGCGAAGAATGAAGCTGCTTCAGACAGCGATTCTAAACCCTCAACCACGACTCCAGGTGATGAACCGAGAGCTGCCTCTGTGTATCAGCTTCATGTGTATTCACTGACTCTTCAGAGGAAACTTATCTCTGACACATTAACAACATAAGTCAACTCTTTTTCTCCAAGCAGAGCGACACATTTCCATCCAGACTAAACTGGAGGGCTTTGAGATGCTGGTTGACCTGAACGGCGGTGAGTTTGGTTCTTCATTAAATCCTTTTCCTCCTCTCTCTTGAGTTTGTAAACAGACCTACTTTCTTTTTTTAATATTCAGTTGAGCAACACATAGACATGAAGGGGTTTAAGGGCGGTGTGCAGAGCTTACAGCATCCCATCTGAAAGACCCGTTAGCCAGAGCGCCACTCTTGACGTTTTTGATTGAGAACTTCCAAAACTTCAAACAGCATTGATGAACTTAGCGAGGCTGAGGAAGAGTTTTAACAAAACCTCCTTGACGTACAGCAGCGGCGACGGTCTGACCCGTTACCTGGAGCTGTTGGTGATCAACCCCAAAAACAACCGGGGCCCCAGACAGCGGGAAAATGTACAAGTGAAGCGTTACTTACAAGCTTTGTGTTTTTGTGTTTTTGTCATCAGCGGGACGTAAGTCGTGCCCTCTGTGTCCCGAGGAGAAGTTTAAAGCGTGCTACAGCCACAAGCTCCGCCGACACCTGCAGAACCTCCACTGGAAAGTCTACGTGGAGTTTGAAGGTAGGAATGTGATGACAGCCGATCGGGTCCTGCCTCACCTTCGCTCTTCCAGTTCACGCCAAAAGAAGGTCAGACAGTCAAGTCGTTACATACCAAACGATGAACACTGACGGTCAAGAGAAGTGGTTCAGATAGAAGTGATTGTACCCGACCTAAAAAGCCTCTGCATGTTTCTAATAAGCTCCACGAGCAGAAACGTGCTCAAACTAGGATCAATATTGGAGATGCTTTTGAAAAATGGAGAGAGGTTAGAACACAGAAAGGTTTACAGACCCATGCAGAGCTGGATAAACACTGAAGCTTCAGAGTCCACCACATGGTGACCTGAGTGAGCATCCACTCTAGAGAGGAGGGGGGGACAGCTCTCTATGATGTTTAGAATTTGGACTGCAGTACCCATTTTAAACACAAGGTGACAGTATCTAATCCATCTGAATGTCAGGACGTCTGTCCAATACTGATAATATCACAACATTTTTTTACACCTGTTACAGGTCAGAGGATGTGTATATGTCACCTGCCCTGCAGAAACCTGAAGCCCAGCCTCAGCGGAGATCAGGTGAGACATCAAACATGCAAAGCCGTCCACAGATAAAGATTCTCAATTTTAAAGAATAGTTTCAGAGAAGAGGTTCAAC